GCCCCCTTTGGGACACGGTCGAACGCCTTCTCCAAGTCCACAAAACACATGTAGACAGGTTGGGCGAACTCCCATGCACCCTCCAGGACCCTGCTGAGGGTGTGGAGCTGTTCCAGTGTTCCACGACCAGGACGAAAACCACACTGCTCCTCCTGAATCCGAGGTTCGACTATCCGACGGACCCTCCTCTCCAGCACCCCTGAATAGACCTTACCAGGGAGGCTTAAGAGTGTGACCCCCCTGTAATTGGAGTACACCCTCCGGTCCCCCTTTTAATTGGAGCACACCCTCCTCGCATCAGCCTCTATAAAAAGATTCGCAGAACATCAAAACAGACAAACCTGTTTGTGTTGTAGATGATCCAAAGACTTTTGTGTGATAACTATGTTTTGGGGTTAGTAATCACTGTGGGAGGAATAAAAATTGAATTACTGGGGTTGGGATTTCAGAAAAATCATAATGTTTTTGTGATAATTCTTATAGCTCTTTTCTGTAAAATAAAAATAGGATTTGTAATTGTTTCACACGCTTCCCCACAGACTTCAACACAGTAAACCAAATGTGGAAAAATCATTACATTGTACAACCTATACAAAGCTTTATCATTAAACAACTCCCTTACTTTATATAGTAATGCAATAGAAAAAGGTTACAAGAAAAAAAACCCATTTCTTTTGTGTAAAGTTTAAATTGAAACCAAAGTTAACTAAATATCCCACATTCACCAGGGATAAAGGAGGTCTCCTTTGGGCTAAATTTGGTCCGCAGGTTGCAGTTTGGTGTCGAGAGCTTTTACTCAACACCCTTTTTTGAAAAAAAAAGAGGGGGGGGGGGGGGGCTGCAAAAATATGTGTGATCATTTTTGGTCCAGCATAAATCTTGTTTCTTGTTCCTAACCTGACAGGAGGTGGTACAAAGATGACTTGTGTGCGCTGGCCTTCAAGGTTCTCCATGACAAACACCGCGGCCCTCTGGTTTTCCTCAGGATATACTCGGGTACTCTGAAAGCCCAGACCGCCGTCCACAATCTGAACAGGAGCAACACGTGAGTTGTTTCAGTTCCAGCTGCAGGCCTGGTTATCTTCACATCACTGTTAATTCACTGCAGGCTGACAGACGTTTTGTTTCCAGTGAGAGGATGAGTCGACTGCTGGTACCATTCGCAGATCAGCACGTAGAAATCCCTTCAATAAGTGCTGGAAACATTGCACTAGCTGTAGGACTGAAGCAGGTAGGGTATAAAACATAACCCTCGTTTGTTCGTTTATTCAATGTTTAAGTATCAACAGTCTGTTTACAATCAAAAAACTCTAAAGAAGTTCAAATTATATTTAAATACTGTAGAAAAAAGGAGCAGGACCTTCATTCGTCTGTTTTTGTTTGGACAATCTTCCATTAGTGAAACCTAAAATGCAAAATCAACTCAACAACAGAGGTGTTCAATCCTGGTCCTGCAGGGCTTCTACCCTACATATTTTCATTGTTTCTCTGCTCCAACACACCTGATTCCATTACTGAAATACCTCTTCAAGTTCTGCAGAAGCTTGTTGAACACCCATCTTTTCAAATCAGGTGTGTTGGAGCAGATTCACCTCTAAAACAGGCAGGATGGTGGTCCTCCAGGACCAGGACTGGACACCCCCTTTTTAAAACGTTTAAATAATCTCACCGTTTTTTTCGTTTGATTAAATTCAATAAATGCATTAATAAATATTTAAAACTGAAGTCAAATTCATTTCTTGTGCTCTGCTGCGGTGCACAGTTACGCCGTTCGTTTGCAACCCAATTTATACAGTGTCAGGTCCACTTAGGTCTGCTCCAGTGCAAAGCACAGAGGAGGTGCGAGAAGTGTAAGAGATGAGTTATTTATGCAAATAGCTCACCTTTACATCTTCCCATAACTAGGTTATGAGAGTAAATTTTTACCAAGGTTTCCTCATTACTTTAATATTTGTCTGTGCAAAGTGAAGTGACACAATTAGGGAACTCAGACTGGTTCAAGTTGATTCATAAAAGATTATGC